GCTAGAGGCTGGGGGCAGCAGCCGAGGGCCCTTCTGCCCTCCCGGGAAATGGGGTGGGTGCTGTGTGTTATTCTCTGCCCTGCTGCCACTTGTGCCGAGACCCCAAAGGGAGGCAGGCAGGCTTGATCTGAAGCGTCAGTGGACTTGTCCGCTGCAGTTTCAGCATCCCATAACCACCTCTCTCTTCCACTTTTTAGGCATGCACGTGGGGTGTAGCCTACGAAGTCCGTGGGGAACAAATTGCTGCATCGCTCCAGTATCTCAATGTGCGAGAAGCTGTACTGGGAGGCTATGACACCAAGCTGGTCAAGTTCCACCCACAGGAGGAAGATGGAGAAGAACCCATCCTGGCTCTTGTTTACATCGCGACGCCCCAGAACCCTTCTTACCTCGGCCCAGCATCTGAAGAAGACATTGCAGCTCAAATCATTGTCTCGAGTGGTTGTGCTGGTCATAACATTGAGTACTTGCTGAGACTGGCGGACTTCATGCGCTACTTTTGCCCTCAAGCAGAGGATAAACATCTCTTCTCCATTGAAGAGGCTCTTGTTTCCATCCTTCCATGGCTATACTACACAGAAGACCCTCTAGAAGAAACAACAAATGTTCCTCAGAAGTCTCAGAGTTGAAAAACTTTTCTGCAGGATCCCAGTAGAAGGGACAAAAGGAAGAAAGCAGTGAGGACAATCTTAAAACTCTGATAAGATACATCAGACTGAGTGAAGAGAGGGAGAATTAGCAAGTAGTAGGGGAGGGAGGAAATGGAGTAAAACATGCTTGCTGTAGGACTTGTAACTAGCACCTGTTATACTCTTTACCTGTAGCACCACAATGGCCATTGCTGCTTTCCAAGTGGGAAGCAGGGATCTTTGCTGGAACTTTGCTCTGTAAGACTTGCTTCCAGGGGTTAAACCTGAAGCACTCTCTTTAGAGAAGGAAAAAGGTAATCCGTTCTGTGCACTTTTTTCTTTTGAAGACTAGTTGAGCAGGACTTGACTGGGTTTAAGAAGGATATATATAATTCTACCTCAGATTGGCAAACAGCTCTTTGTGTGGTGGTGGACACTGGGGCAGGTTCTGCCAAATAAGGCCTTTTTTGTTTTCCCTGCCGTGTCCCACCTCCAGTTACAATGACCTGACGCTAAATCTCAGGACTTCTGTGCAATATTAAGTGAGCTGGCCTCTAGGCTCTCGTGGATCCTACTTCTTTATGTTGTGAAGGATCACAGTAATGCACTTATTTTTCTAAAATGTTATACTGTATTTATTATGTGATGCATTTACCCTTAGGAGGGGTATCTGAACTGCTCATATGCCACAGTGGTACACAGCCCACGTTCAGCCTTGTGTTTGTGCCTTCTAGTTTTAAATTGGTTTTCTGAGGAGCTAAGCCTGCTCTAAATCACAGAAGCTTCACTCCAAGCTTCACTGACTTTGTGCTGCTACAGAACTGACTGACTCTGTAAGAAATGGTCCTGCTGGTGTGAGGAATCTGTGCTGCCTGCAGGAAAGCTGTCTGGATGCAGAAGCATTTTAACTAGCCCTGTACTGGATAAACCTCTGGTGCTTCGGGATAACATGGGTTTCTGTAGAAGCATTTGAAGATTCTAGTTCGATACAGGGGGGTGTGTCTCGTACACTTATTTGACTGCAGAGGACCATGACTGAGCATACTTGCAAGCCTTTGAGCTCCTGAAAAAAGCCTGCCTTGATGGTGTTAAGCAGAATTACTGCTGCAAGCTCAGACTTTTCAGCTTTGTGTATTAACAGTGAAACCCCACAGTATTTAGTAAGAAAACTGCTGCTACTGCAACTGCGACAAAATAGCTCTTGAGAGCTGACCCCAGGACACTTGACTCCTCCCAAATACCATGTGGGGTTTTTATTATTATTAAAAAAAAAGGTAGGGACTGTTTGTATTACTGTGGCTTGTATGTCTATGAAGTGGTACAGTGCTGTGCCCAGTAATAAAACAAACTGACAATCTTAGTCTTCTGTACTTTGATGCTAGTTTTCTTCATTACTGACTTCAAAGTTAAAACTAATTTTATTTTTTTTTGTAGTTTGAAAAAATTCTAGCTGGTAATGCTGCTGTAGTTTCTATGGGTTTTTTTTGTTGCTTTTTTAAAAATAAATTTCACTGCTTAGCAGCTTGCCTCTGCTGGATCTACTGGAAGGCACCCAGTGATCCTTTCCCCCTGTGAAAAGGGGGTTAAGTGCTTTTCTCTTCCCAGCTTCCAGCTGTTGTTGATTCTGTAGTGCCAGTGCTGATGACAGACAGGAGCCAGCCCTCCTGACTGTACGGGGCAGGCACAGAGATGTAATTCTCCCTTGGCAGGTTGAAGAGAATATTTTTTTATTTTTTTCCAAGTGTAACTCGGCATCGCAGTTTCCAAGAAGTAATAGTGGAAGGACAAGAAACTGCTGCTGCAGCCAGCTCTGTGGGCAACACCAAGGGAGGGGGTTATTTTTCTGCTGCCTGGCGCGCAGCGCCCTGTGTACAGGGGTGAGGGGCAGCTGCCCTCTTGACTCCTCTGCTTACCAGCTGCCTCAGCACAAGCAGATCACTGTACCTACTGGTAATAACTGCCTCAAGGCTTGAGTGATGAAGGGAAAACTAATTGAAACAACTGAATTTACCACTAATTAAAGGCAGGTGTGTGTTTTGGGGATAATAGACTAGAGAAAGCTGTGCTTTGCCCTGTTGGGTGGAGGCTCTCACTTCAACTGAGCTGCTGCATCTCCCCAGGGGGTGGGGGGTAAAATCCCTCAGCTGGAAAATGAAAGGGTTAAAGAATCACCTTACCTGCAGGGGAACACTCCCTTACTAGTACATGACTGGGGTCAAAGACTAAAATATCTCTAGACAAACAAAAACCATCTTCATGCCTTTTTCAAAGGCACCAGAGACTGGAATTAATAGCAGGTGTGCAGTAAGTGACCTGCGTGGCCGTCTCACAAAGAGACCCCATTGCCTCATTCAGCCCAAGTTGGGCCCAGGATCTTGCACACTGCTAGTGAAAGCCAAGTGGTGAGCACTTGTGAACAGTCCATCGGTGCTTGGGCTGTTCCTTCAGCTGTTTCTTCTTCCCTTGAAAAACAAAGTGTTTTAAGCACAGATACACTACTTCCAACACCTGAAGGGAACCTACAGGAAGGTTGGGGAGGGACTTCTTACAAAAGTGTCCACCAATAGGACAAGGGGAAATGAATTTAAGTTAAAGGAAAACAGATTTCACTTGGATCTTAGGAAAAAGTTCTTCAGTGCGCAACCTGGTCTACTTGAGAGGCGTCCCTGCCCATGGCAGGGAGGTTGGATTAGATGGTCTCCAAGGTCTCTTCCAACCTAGGCCATTCTGTGATTCTGTGATACTTCACTGAACTTACCCTTTGCTTCCCCATGAATTCTTTGAAGCAGACTTCCAAAAAACATCCCTGTTTTCTTTCCAGCAGTGGTGAATATGGCAGCTTGCTGCTGTCACCCTGTCACTTTGAGTCACTAGGACAGACAATGAAGTATCCTGTAACTCCCTTCTCCTGAGGGTTTTATTGTGTCCTGTGAGTCTGGGAGTCCTGTGAGTCAGTTGGTGAATTTAAAAGGTTAACATCCCAGATTTGAACTTGAACCACGTGTGTGAGGAGAGATGGGCACCCTGAGACATTTGCAGTATGCCCAGCTTACGTTGGTACTGCTGCTGGAAGGGGGCAGACCATGGGGTCTTGCCTTTGATGAACCAAAGGTCAGGAAGATCACTGCTGCTTGGAGGCAGTTATACAACCACGACACTTGGCAGTACCAGGCCAACTGTGACACAAGGACAGTGTCCTACCCCGTACATGTTTCACAACAGGCTTTCTCTCCCCACGTCATGACCTACTAGCCCAGGCAGAGCATCTGGCCGTTGGTGCAGCTCCAGCTTCTGGCAGCTCTACCCCTGCTCTGATGGCTGGCCTGGGAAAGAGCACTCACCTTTTCAGAGGGTGAGGCAACCACCCTCGTTTGCTGCCAGACATTTCTGGAGGTGCTTCCCTATCTAGTGGCTTCCTCTGGCATGTGCAGTTTTCCTCTTCTCTGACTTGCCTATGACAAGCTTGTGCCTATACAGTCACCTCATTAGAAACCAGTTGCAACAGAAACATGTTTGATCCTGCTCACAGCAGGGGGATTGGACTAGGTAACCTTTTGAGGTCCCTTCCGACCCAAAACATTCTATGATTCTATGTTTACAAGTGCAATCAATCACATACTTCCCAAGCGTAAACTGGGTACAATTCACATGATTTCACTCCCTCCTTCAACCTTTTCCATTTTTCTCACCCATCAGTTCCCACAACAGCCCTGGAACACGAGCCTGGGTCACCATTTCCTTGAGGACATTAGGGCAGGACCCTACCCAGTTGCCTTGCAGTGGCACAGCCAGCTAAATAAAGTAGACGACAACAATTAATCTAGGCCTGGTTTTCATATATGTATAAAGAACTCCTGAGGGCATGTGGTCCTTAATAGGGCAGAAGAAAGGATAAAGAAAGTCAGCAATGCTGAAAGGATTCAGAGAAGACAAAACTAGAAGCAAAAAAAGGCTCTGGTTCTTAGGTGCTAAAGTATCATCTCAGTTTCAAGGTGGAATGGTGAGAACCAAGGAGGTTTCGCACAGGAAAATTTCCACCAGGGTGCTTTGAGCGTTAGTAAAAATGTAGCTTAACTATAGCAAGACCAAAGTGTGAACTTGGCTGTGCTTTGTGTACTTTTCCAGGTAAGAGGCTGGGCCACAAAAATAGTGAGATCAAACTCGTCTCTGTGGTTGATGGCATATGGGCACACAGCTTAGCAAGGGAGGGAGGAGGTAGGACAGGTGGGTGGCCTAGGGGACAGGTAGGGAACAGACCTGCGTTCCTCAGCTGGCTTCAAAAGCAAACAATGGCTTGGTCGAGTCTACTTGAGGAGAACCTATGTTCGAGCATCTCTAGATGCTAGAAAGTGAGGCCAGCACAGACTTGGAAGGTTCTCAGTCCCCAGAAGGGCTGAAAAAGAGAGGCACAGCAACACGCATCCCCACGGCCTCGAGAGGGTCGCTGGGGCTCCGCCAGGCACAGGGAATGGCACGTGCTGGATTTCACAGCTCTTACAGGAGCTGCAGCTGGTTGCACACAGCACATGTGTTATTCCATGTGTGTCTGCTTGCCGCTGAGGAGACAGGCTGAAATGTGGATTTAATGACCTACAGATGTTTCAGCAGCAGAGGAAAAGCAAAAGATAAAAAAACAAAACCCAAATCAAACCAAACAAACACTTATGGCTGCTCCTGGACGACCTCTGCAGCAGCAATACATGGGCTGAACGGCAGGTTCTCTCCTGTCACGGCGTCTGCCAAGGCTGCTCTGACCAGTGCTCTCCTCTGCAGGAGAGGCTGGACAGCACTTGGCGCACACTGTGTACAGAGAGGATGTGTCCAGAAACAACGCCCGGCGTCGTAACAGTGTGTTCCTCTGCTCCCGCTACCAGGAAAGACTGGACAGTGAAGCAGGGGAAAGAAAGAGGGTCAGCTGAGTGCACAGCTGCGCCAGGGCAAGTGGGGCTGGCTGACTTTGCATAAAATATCCAGCACCGAACATGCAAATGTCGTCACCTGCACGCTCAGATGTTTCTCGGTGTAACACAGTTCAGTGCCAAAATAGTAGCAATGCCAGCATGTCCCAAAAC